TGTTACTCGTGTTAATAATTGTGAAATTACTATTATATTAGAACTTGAGTAATACTAAATTAATTATTATGTAGTCGATTTACTCACGTAACTGTTTGAGCCATTCTAGATGCTCATATTCATTGAAACTAGTCGAGTTCCTCGTCAAACAGTTAGAAAGGAAAAGCATTTGTTAAACAGTTGACACGCACACAGATACAGAAAAAAAATACAAAATTAAAAAAGAAAAGAAGAAATATATATAATAATATTGCGCATTAAAGGAAATAAAAACAAAATTGCGTTTTTCTGTAATAACAACAAAATTTTTTATTTATTATAATTGCGTACAATGTACTTTAACTTTTTAACTTAGATAATTACCATAAACACTAATAAACAAAATAACTCACCTGTAAAAGCAACAAAAAACAACATTTTAAGCCTTTATTTCTTGGTATTAGGCATTATTTATGGGAAAAATTAACTTTATAAACTAAAATACAAAATATAACCATATGACATTCATTCTTCTAAATCAGTGACATCTCTTTATATTAATTATTCTATATTTCTTATGATAAAGCGGCCAATTCAACAATGAGAATTAAGCACAGAGTATTTAATCATTAAGAAAATATAATATAGTGATTTTCTTTACATATATACACATATTTCTTTTTTTATTTATTTATTCTTTAATAAATAAAATCTGCGTAAACTGAGGTACGGAAAATAAACTAACAACAAAAAGAGAGAGAGAGAGAGGAAAAAATAATGGTAATTATTAAATAATATAGTTATACATATATATTACATAATAGTAAATAGTATATATAGTCATATGCATAAAATATATAGGTATAAATACATACATAAATATATATCGACGAAGACCAAGACCTAGCGTTAGGGTCGATGCCGATTCGGAGTCGCGGAGAACCTAACGGGTAACCGGGGCTCCGGCTCGACGTGCACGAGAAGGAACGGGGTGGTTTTTAGTCAGTAAGAGTCTGACACTCCCTCCCGCCTCACCCAGGCGGGAGCAGTCATTCGATGATTTTCCCCCCTTAAAAAAAAAAAAGACCTAGCGTTGCAGCGATTGTAAATAAAATTCATGAACTTGGTGTTTAACTCGTCGAGTACCGTCTTTGTAGACACAATTAAAGAACAATAGGTTGCGGTCACCGGTGTCCGCTTGGTGTTTGACAGTTTAAAGGAGATTTTATTAGGAGCTTTTTTGATGTTGAGGGGGAGCGCATTCCAAAGTTTGATTACAGTTATTGTAAAGGAATTAGAAATAAAAGAGGTCCGGTGGGAAGGTATCTCAAGAAGCAAGTTATCCGTCGAGCGGAGGTTACGGCTGTGGCAACTGCCTAATAGCTATAGATATAGAAAAAGAACAAAGAAACGACAACGTATAACAATACAATAATTAAAAATTAATAAAAAAGCGTGTTAGTGAGTTACGTGAGTAAGACGAAAACGTAATAATTAAATTACTTTTAATTGAATTATTTTACATTTAACATAACATAACATCACGCCTTTTATCCCCGAAGGGGTAGGCAGAGGTGCACACAGGAGTAACACCCACTTTTCACTATTTATGTTATTATTCCCATGTAATAGGGGGTGAGCCTATTGCCATATACCGGGCACAATTCCAGACTCCGTGCTACTACTGAGTTTTTTAAAAAAAAAATTGTTTTTTTTTGCCCGACCCGGGAATCGAACCCGAGACTCCTTGCCCAGCAGTCACACTTGCGACCACTTGGCCAACGAGGCAGTCGTATTTTACATATATCAAAAGATTTAACATTATTTTTTACTAATAGTACAATGTAACACCCACTTTTCACTATTTATGTTATGAGTCCCATGTAATAGGGGGTGAGACTATTGCCATATACCGGGCACAATTCCAGACTCCGTTGTTATCAAGAAACTTATTTAAAATGAATGTAAATTAGTTTATAACATATTTTTTATGTTTAATTCTAACATGTATATTATATTATATTATATATTAATAAAATCCCAAATCGCTTGCTTGACTAACGCTTCGCTTTCAAAGAATGATTTTCGCATCTGAGACCTTAGTACGAGTAAGTAATAAGTATTTGAAACGAGTACGTATTCGGCGCTGTGATTGGCCGGCGCCAATGAAGCAACGAATCAGAGTGCCAAGCACGAATAACTATCGCATTCGTAACGTAATAGTATCGAGCGCGTTCGGCGCTCTGATTAGCCGGCTCAAGTGAACCAACCAATGACAGAACACTTAACTAGTACGTACTATAACGGGCTGGAGCTGGAAATCAGCGCCGTGGGCTCGAGCCTCTGTGGGTCCACGGTATTAAGCTGAGCTCCAGCCTTTTGCGCTACGACGCACCGTAAGCTTATTGTGTTTCTAAATTACTAGCTAGCACCTAGTTTCACCTAGTTTCACTGACGGACTGACTGACAGACCATTATTTATTTTGTATTTCTTGGCGTTTCAAAAGTACCAAACTATGGTTTAATTTAAATAAATGCTTTGACTTTGACTTTGAAATTGTTGTTGTGTGTTGTAGCATAATAAATGTTTTTTCTTTATTTTCTTTCTTTACTTAACTCGCTCGATACTGTTACGATACGAATACGATAGTTATTCGTGATTGGCACTATGAGCGACGAACGCGTACTCGTTACGATTTCGTACTTTAAACTCGTACTAAGGCCTCTGACTACTCTAAGAAGATACATCGATACAAACTCAGAGGTCATCTTTTCTAACGTAGAAATTTTACATCCATAACACCACGCCTCTTACCCCCGAAGGGGTAGACAGAGGTGCACATTACGGCACTTAATGCCACTGTACAATGTAACACCAACTCTTCACTATTTATGTTATGAGTCCCATGTAATAGGGGGTGAGCCTATGGCCATATACCGGTCATAATTCCAGACTCCGTGCTACTACTGAGATATTTTTTTTAAATAACCCAGTAATACTTTGCCCGACTTGGGAATCGAACCCGAGATCCCTTGCCCGGCAGTCGCACTTGCGACCACTCGGCCATCGAGGCAGTCAGTATGTATTTAACACGTTAACTGCCGCGTAGGTCACCGGTGACCTACGTTAGCGGAGGATTTGCCTTCAGCAGTTTTCTGTCGGCAGTCAAAGGCTTAACTGACCAGTTAAATGATAATAAATTGCAGGTAATCGCACTATATCCATATACCGCACAAAACGCAGATGAGCTAAGTTTCGAAAAAGATGACATTATAGCAGTCACTGACCGCTCGCAAGACCCAGCGTGGTGGCAAGGTAACTAACATACGTGTTTAGAGGGCGCTGGAATGATAAAAAAAAACAAAAATTAAATTGACTTTGACCTTCAAATTTTTGACTTTGACTTTAACCTTTAACCTTGATATGCTTTCATTAAAAATGTTGACTTTGATCTTGATGTCATGACTTTGACCTTCATTTTGTCCATAAAATGTAGATCTTGAACATAATACTAGGATTGTTTTGACCTTAAAACTACTTACCGATATTAAAGTTAGCTGTAGTAAGTAGTACTACAAAACGCAGATGAGCTACATTTCGAAAAATATGACATTATAGCAGCTCGCAAAACCTAGAGTGGGGTCAAGGTAACTAACATATATCTCATAAAACCATGTTTAGGGGGCTTCGGAATTATATTTTGAAAAAGTATTTTGGCCTTGGAAAATTTGACTTTGACCTTGATATAGACCTTCGCCATTCTTACTTTTAAACGGGAAAATCCTGTCCACTCACACGTGACATTTGTCATTTTGAACTTGACCTTATAATGCCAAACTTTTTGATACTAACCTTTAGTCATTCCTTGTTCAGATTGACCTTAAAAATTTTGACTTGAACCTTGACCTTTGTTGACTTTGCACTTGATTATTCTCATTTTAACCAAAAAATGTTGACATTGAACTTTAAATCGGCCTTTAAAATTTTGACTTCACCATCAAAACTTCAGCTTTGAAAATTTGTGATTTTGACTTCAAAATCTTGACTTTAACCTTGAATATTTTGACTTAACCATAAAATCTTGACTTTAATCTTGAATATTATCATTCCAAAACCCTTTTACTACAAAATTAACTTGTATAATATATCTATGTACCTATAGTATATTTGTATAATATGCACGAAAATAACACCAATTCATCATCATCAACAGCCTATAAGTGGCCACTGCTGACCAAAGCCTTCTTCTCATACGGAGAAGGTTTGAGCATTAATCACCACGCTTGCTCAATACAGGTGGAAAATAACATGTAACAAAAATCCTTTTTGCTTTAATAATTAACGAGTAACAAAAGAGTAATTAACCTTTAACCGACTACAAAATAGATTTAAAGTAATTTAACAGCTTGTCTGAAGGCTTAAACAGTTGAACATGTACAATGTAACACCTACTTTTCACTATTTATGTTATGAGTCTCATGTAATAGGGGGTGAGTCTATTGCCATATACCGGGCACAATTCTAGACTCTGTGTTATTGTTGAGAATTCAGTCATTCTCCATCTTCTTGTGTCCTTTCCGTAGGTGTCGTTTACCCGACTAAGACACTACTAGAGACCGTGCATCAGCGCTCTCTGATAAACCTGAACCTTGTATACTGCGACCTCCAACCCGCCTGCCTGCGGAGATTGTGACAAACCCTCTTATGTAGAGGAGACTCATAGTGCAGCAGTGGACGAGCTGATGAACTTACGCCATGTAAGGAGGATTATTTCGTTGCGGGAACCAAGACAGTTACTCATGTCCCTGAGACGCGCCGGACTTCAGTGTTCCGGTGTTTTCATGGTTGTATCTACTGTAGATCCTGGTGCACAGGAGTTGCAGCGGTTTAGGTTGTGGAGGGCTATCTATATTCTTTGCAAACGAATTGGAGATCGCAGTATAAAAAGTCTAGGTTTATCAGAGAGCGCTGCTGCACGGTCTCTGTCTAATATGTAGTGTCTTAGTCGGGTATACGACACCCGCGGGAAGAGTAACGGTGGTGACAACTGTATTTTACTCTGCCTTAAATAATGTTTGTTTTTTATTTTCAGGCGAACTTCGAGGAATGACTGGACTATTCCCAAGCAACTATGTTACGAAATTAGTCAACTAAATCCTATGTTTAGTCGTACTAATATTGTAATCTATATTATTAATAACTCTTAGTACCTAATAACTAGGCAAGTGCTTATAGTAAACTATTTATTAATCATTTGTAATACCCCAATCCCCCAAACCCCCAATCTCTAATCCTAAATCCCAATACCCCAATCCCCCAATCTCTAATCCTAAAATAACCCAATCTCCATTCCTCAATCCCCAACCTCCAATCCTAGATCCCTGATTCCCAATCCCCCATCCCCCATCTCCAATCCTCAATCTTTAATCCCAATCTCCAATCCTCAACCCCCAATCTCCAATTCATCCCCAATCCCTAAAAAGCCGGCAACGATAATTTATTAGAATATTAATTAGCACTATTATAATACATATAAGTAATATATTATTTATATTATTAAAAAAATATCACTTATGCCCCGATTCTTTGCTCCTAAGCGTATAAAAGCACTTGTCTAGCGCAACAGTTCATATTTAATCGCGCTTATATAAAACGTAGGTGAAGGGTGACGGACAATATGTAGGTACCTACCGACCAATAACAACCAGATGTATGTTTTTTATGGCATTTTTAAGGGGGGAAAGTCATAGAATGACTGCTCCCGCCTGGGTGAGGCGGGAGGGAGTGTCAGACTCTTACTGACTAAAAACCACCCCGTTCCTACTCCTGCACGTCGAGCCGGAGCCCCGGTTACCCGTTAGGTTCTCCGCGACTCCGTATCGGCATCAGCCCTATTGGGCCCCATCCGTGGTGGTCTGATGGCTCTTTGAGGCGCGCGCGGGATGCTCGGCGCCGTTAGAATTTTAGGATTGTTGGGGATTCAGGGATTGGGGAAGGGTGAGGGGGGTGGTAATTGGGCCTCTGCTAGCCTCACTCTCACGACGAAACACAACGCCAGCGTTGTTTCACGTCGGTTTTCTGTGAGGACGTGGACTAACTATAGCATTTTCTCTACAACGAATTGAGTCTAGCCCCCGTAATAACAAATGATAGTCATGGAAAGAGCTAACGATATACGTCTAGTCGTCATTGGTCGGTAGGTACAATTCCCGTACATGTCTGCCCGTCCTCCTTTTGACTTTGAAATCCATTTTAGCACAACTGTTAATGAATTTAGTAAAAAGCTTATACTATTTTAGTAATAGTAAAGTTTTTTTGAAAGAACAATGTTAAAATAAATATACTATTATCCATTGTTATAGAATATGTTACTTTGTTAGAGGGAACTGCAAATCAAATAGGGTAGATGACTATTTTATTTTAATGTCCGTCTGGTAGATTATTTTAAAACATTAGACACGTATTTTTTATTTTCTTACAGAAACGAATACTTTCGACGATATATTGATTTGAAATGTCGCGTGACGTCACTTCTATGTACATTTTATACGTAGAAATGACGTTTGAGCCCCCACTCCTAAACTTTTATTGGTTTTATCTAAGTATTGTTTTATTATACGGCAAAATAAAAAATTCGTGTCTAATATTTTTTCATTACCTAACTGACGGACTGTCATCATCCCAATTATACTTATAAAGTTTAATGTTTAAATTGATTTTTAACCGACGTCGAAATAGAAGGAGGTTCTCAATTTGACCTGTTTGTGTGTACGTATGTTATTGTGCGGGATTATCTCGCGATTGGCTGAACCGATGTCGATGCGGTTTCAAATGTGTTTGTTTTAATCAAATAAATTTTTTAATAAATTAATTAACATCATCATCAACAGCCTATAAATGCCCACTGCTGAGCAAAGCCTCACACGGAGAAGGTTCGAGTATCAATCACCACGCTTGCTCAATGCGGGTTGGCGATTTCAAACTTATAATTACAAATTATAAGCCCATGTTTCCTCACGATGTTTTCCTTCACCGTTTGTCAGTGGTGTTTAAATAATCTTAGAAAGTACATATAACTCGGTAAAAGTAACATTGGTACTTGCCGTTGGTAGGTTTCGAGCCTGCACCCTCATGAATGAGAGGCGGGCGTATTGGAGGACGGTGTAGATCTTAACCGACTTCAAAAAAAGAGATGGTGGCGGTTTTATCAACGTGGTTTATGAAAGAATTATTAACTTCAGCACAACACAATGGAGGTTGATGATTATTCTATAACTAGTTTCTGCCAGCAGCTTCCCCCGCATTCCTCGATGATAAAACGTACCCTATGTGTTATTCTAGACCATAATCTACCCCTGTTCCAAATATCATCTCGATCCCTTCAGCCGTTTTGATGTGATTGATTAAAAAACAAACACGAACTCACAGACTTCTTTATTAATAATATTAATAAGATAACAATTGTAGATAACCAACTATAATAACAAGTTGAATGTGTAATGTGTGATACGCAGCTCATAAATATGAGCCCCAGTTAAGCTCGAAACTAATCGGGAGTCCTCGAAAATGGTAAATTGAGAACTGTTTTTAAAACTCATTTGAAAATTGATTTGCAGTTTTTTGTATCGATTATAATTTTATTAAACTATGATTGTAATGTAACCAAACGAATTATAATTATTATTTTTAGTTTCACTTCAAAAAATTATATCTTTTATGTAGGTAACCTAAATAGTCCATTAAAATTGTCTTTTAATTAAAAAAATGTGTATTAGATTTCATCAGGCACTTTTAGCATTGTGCAACTATCATTAGTTAGTTATATTTAGAGCATTTAAAATATAGTAGAATCAATTATATCGCCTCTTACATACTTCTTTAGCTTCCACCACATTCATACATCTGATGGTATACAGAAACTACAGAGCGCCACCTACTACGGTCCTAACATACTTCTTTAGCTTCCATCACATTCATACATCTGATGGTATACAGAAACTACAGAGCGCCACCTACTACGCTCCTTACATACTTCTTTAGCTTCCATCACATTCATACATCTGATGGTATACAGAAACTACAGATACAAACCTTACTTAAGAATCACTCGATCTATTAAAAAAACCGCATCAAAATCCGTTGCGTAGTTTTAAAGATCTAAGCATACATAGGGACAGACAGACGGCGGATAGCTACTTTGTTTTATACTATGTAGTGATTGACGTACATTTTGACACTAAGCAGCTGTAGCCAAATGCCATTTAGCGCTTGTCTACATGTAGAATAGAAAACCAAATTATATAGGTTTGATGTAAATTTTGACACTTGTCAGTGTCATCCCCATACATTTAGTTTTCTACTCTCTCTGTAGACAAGCGCTAAAGTGGCGTTTAGCTAAAGGCACAGGTTTAGGAGACTGTCTATTAACTGTTTTAAATGCTCTATAGATGTTTTTATGCCAGCAAAGAAGATGCCATTATTATTATTATTATTGCCTAATATTATGAAATAAAATGTTAAATAAATAATCGTGTTATCAGTAGTTGATTGCAGTAGGAATAAATGTTACTATCATTCTTTTGTTGTTTTTTTTTATCTTACCTCTAAATATAATAAAATATTTTTAGACGTCTATAGACGTCGCGGTAGGCCCAGAAGATGGCGGGATGAGCTTTTTTTTATTATATTAGATTTCTTTTCTCCACGGACTCTCTTGTCCGTGCCCTTGTCATTTAATTACATTTTCTTTTATTACATACATACATAACATGACGCCTTTTATCCCCGAAGGGGTAGGCAGAGGTGCACACAGAAGTAACACCAACTTTTCACTATTTATGTTATGAGTCCCATGTAATAGGGGGTGAGCCTATTGCTATATACCGGGCACAGTTCCAGACTCCGTGCTACTAGTGAGATATTTTTTTAATCCCAATAATACTTTGCCCGACCCGGGAATCGAACCCGAAAACCCTTGCCACCACTCGGCTCTCAGCAGTCGCACTTGCGACCACTCGGCCAACGAGGCAGTCAGTTTCTTTTATTTTATAGTCAAAATTAATTATTACAAAAATCTTACGTGGTACATTAACCACATTTTTTTACACAAAGAAATTTGTGTCTACTATCTACATATACACAATACATGTTTTATTACATTTACATTAACCCTACTGGATCGGCCCACACGCGCGATGAGCGAGCCGGCCTGCTCCAGCAGAAGGCGCCCGTTCACGGGTATGACGTGAGGGCCAGCAATCGGTCCGATCAACCATTTCGTAGGGAACGGAGCGACCCAGCCCACAGCGCCAGCGGCGTGATAAGCTTGACGCCTATGAAAAGGATTGGCCATAGAAAGCTTTAAGAAGAGACGAGTGGAAGGAGGGTTTTTTTTAAGCGTGGAAAATCATCGAATGGCTTCACCCGTCTGGACGAGGCGGAAGGGAGTGTCAGACTATTACTAACTAAAAACCACCCCGTTCCTACTCCTGCACGTCGAGCCGGAGCCCCGGCAACCCGTTAGGTTCTCCGCACGACGCACGCGGAACGCGACTCGCCGTACGCTCGGGTCTGGCCCCGGGTGGCGAGCCACCCATGCTCGCCGTCCGCAGGCCCGCGGGCGGAAAGTCAAAGTCAAAGCATTTATTTCAATTAAACCATAGCTTGGAACTAACCATAACTTTTGAAACGTCAACAAATACAAAATAAATAATAGTCTGTCAGTCAATCCGTCAGTGGAACTAGGTGAAGCTAGGTGCTCATTCCAAAAAGTAGATTCGAATGGAGAAGAACGAGCAAGAAACTCCATTCGTTACTCTTTTTTAAAAAAGTATGTTCTACAATGTCTCTGATACATATTTCAAGTCACAGAAGTCCGGCGCGTCACAGGGACATGGATAACTGTCTCGGTTCCCGCAACGAAGTGAATCAGAAGATATTATAAGACAAGAAAAGAAACGCCCCTCTTCTGTCTCTATTTACCTCTCGATTCCGATCCACCCCATTGTACGGTATCTAATTGCTTACTTTTCAACATAACATCACGCTTTTTCTCCCCGCATGGGGTAGGCAGAGGTGCACATTACCTACGACACTTAATGCCACTGTACATTGTAACATCGACTTTTCACTATTTATGTTATGAGTCCCATGGAATAGGGGATGAATCTATTGCCTTGTCCGGCAGTCGCATTTGAGACCACGGCCAACGAGGCAGTCATGGTATGTAAGAATCTTACCAATTTGCGTTGCATAATTCGTCGACTCCGTCGACTCCCATGGGAGACACCTCACGCCCGGCAGTCGCACTTGCGATCACTACTCATATTATACTACCTCTATATATACTACGATATTTGGGATTTAAAATTACAGATAATGAATATTCCCCCAGAATGTATAAGAATTTCCAAAATGTACATACCATGGTGTGATTTTGTTCAAGAAAACCTGTATAAACGAGGGCAAGTTCGTGGGGGCCGGGATTTTTTTTTAAGGGGGGAAAATCATTGAATGACTGCTCCCGCCTGGGTGAGGCGGCAGGGAGTGTCAGACTCTTACTGACTAAAAACCACGAACGAACGAAATCGCTTGACTTTTGCACCCCATAAAACTTACCAGCTATTGCTTAAAGGATATCTAAAGTCATGACCGTCTATTAAATTTAACAATGTTTCCGTAAAACGAAAGGAGTCTGTTTGTTACCTCGGTCTAGTATTGGAAAAAAACTTTTCTTTCATTG